ATTGCTGTCTGGAATAGCATCACATTATTTACAGTTATAGAATCATAGAATCATAGAATACTTAGGTTGGAAAGGACCTTAAGATCATCAAGTTCCAACCCCCTGCCATGGTTTACAGGATAAGTATATATACCACAATCCCAAACTATCCATTGCAATGTACTTCCACTTCCTACCCCAGAAGTAAAAGATAGAAACTTTTCATGCTGCAGGTTTCTCCTCTTAGTCAAAACCAGCCGGAACGCTCCTTGTCAGCATCTCACTTGAGAGACAAAAACTGAAGCTGTGGTGCTGTTCCACTGGTTGAACAGATCAGAGTTAATGATATCAAGGCATTTATTTCTTCATTATTCTCTTTGGTTGATATTTAGAAACAAAAAGGCAGCCCTAGTTGAGGAATCTGGTTATTAGAATCATATTAGTAGAGCAGATTGACATTTGGAATTAATTGTAGAAGGGGCAAAGGGTTTGTGTTCATTCTTGATCTTGTTGAATGTAAAATGAAGGTCTGATAAATGAGTTTCCTGTATATTTGTCATCTTGGAAGCATCAAGGTTTATTGTGATTTGTTGGTTGATATCAAACCAGCTCTTTACCTAATGACCCAAGCTGAGATCATGGCTCCAGAGAAGCAGACATTTAATACATGTGGTGTGAAACTGCTCACACAATTTTGATGCATGATTTACCCAGTTTGTTTCCTTAAATTTCAGCAAGAAGCCAAGGAACAGCAGAATTCTAAGCTGTTAATATAAGGTCTTATTCACCACTAGCAAAGCTGTTTCCTGGTGTAGGGCTATGGGATTAATACTTATCACTGGCTTAAACATGGATCTTACACGATCCTGACAAGTTTTTGCCTATGTAAGCAAGGCCAAGAGATTTGGGTGAGTGAATATTGATCACAAATTCTTCCACCTTTGGTTACTTAGGAATTTGTGTTTGATAATTTGAACAAAGAAGCACCAGCAAAACAATACATTTTGGAGCATTTGGAAATACGAAACACATGAAATAATATTTCATATCAATGACGTGTGTTATATAAATACATATGAAATACGCTCCTTCTCTCTCTGGCTTATGCTTGACTTGGGTGGTAATGCTGTAAGATCCCCTCAGAGGGTTACAAAGGATTGCATTTCCTTTGCTCCAGGACAACTGTCGCACACGTGCCCCAGGGACATGGGTCCTCTGTCCCTGTGTGAGCCTGTACCAGATAAGGCTGTTGGAAGCTCAGAACTGTTGCCAGGTCAGTAATTGTACAGACATGTTGGTTGCATCAGGAGAAGTCTGTATCCTCAGCAGGTTTGCTGATGGCACCAAGCTGTGTGGTTTGGTTGATGTGCTGGAGAGAAGGGATGCCATACAGAGGGACCCGGACAGGCTGGAGAGGTGCAGTCAGTGTGAATCCCATGAAGTTCAACAAGGCCAAGGGTCCTGGGTCAGGGCAATCCCAAGCACAGATACAGGGTGGGCAAAGACTGGATTGAGAGCAGGCCTGAGGAGAAGGACTTGGGGCTGTTGTGCAACAAGAAGCTCAACATGACCCATTAGTGTGCATTTGAGTCCAGAAATCACCTATGTCCTGGGCTGCATCAAAAGGAGCATGACCAGCAGGCCAAAAGAGGTGAGCAGCAGGTCAAGGGAGGGGATTCTTCCCTGTGAGGGTGCTGAGGCCCTGGCACAGGATGCCCAGAGAAGCTGTGGCTGCCCCATCCCTGGCAGTGTTCAAGGCCAGGTTGGACACAGGGGCCTGGAGCAACCTGCTCTAGTGGAAGGGGTCCCTGCCCGTGGCAGGGGGATTGGAACTGGATGAGCTTTAACGTCCCTTCCAACCCAAACCAGTTTGGGGTTCTATGATTCCCAATACAGATTCTGCAGCTGGACCTGGGTGAACAGAAGCTGTTCGGCTTTTATCTGTATTGTTCTTACCACTCCCTGCTACTGAGCTTCCCAAACTGCTGAAGCCTGAGTGAAAGGATTTGGAAGGACGGATTAACACAACAGGAGAACGTGCATCTTAAACAGCAGGATAAACAATATGAACATTCCTTTCCCTGAGAGGAAGGTAGAAGGAAAATTGCCTGGAAATACACACAGTGTCAATGGACATCCCGCTAACAGTAAAACAGGAGGCTCCCAAAACCTTAGGAGATAAAAATTCATGCCCCAAATTAAGAAGCACGAACTTGACAGGTGCTTCCTGTGGGTGCGGAGATGAGGGAAGTACAAGTGGGTTTCTCAAGTAAGGGATAATGACAATTCCGAGAACAGGTAATTTGTTTCTTCTCTCCAAGGCAGCTCAGCATGGGGGAGCTCCTGGCCCCGCTAATGAAGCTGTACCGCCTGTGGAGGGTAATGGGTGCTGCTTCTGTAAAGAGATTATTATGTGAGCGAGACGTGTTGTGGAAGGCTGAAAATTGCTTTTCTCAGATTGCAGCAACTTCCCTCACTTACAGGAGATGCTCAAGTGGATCAGTCCAGCTCACTGCTCCCAGCAGAGCAAATATGAGTTATTCAGGAACCATCAATTAGCTGGAAGTCTGAGGATGTAAATGCCTGTTTACTTCATTTCCTCATCAACAAGGGCTGGGTTTCCTCATTCAGGGATTTGTCCAGTCTGGTTTTAAGTGTTAGGCGAGAGATTCTTTTCACTGCTGGTCTAGCAGCATTCACAGGCAGGAAGTTTTCACTGACAGTGAATATCATTTTTCCTCAATGACATTCCTTCATTCTTAATTGCATTCCGATAAATCAGGCTCTGTAATTCCTTCAGTCTGGTGCTTAAGGCTTTCCAATCCTTTTTACTGGGAATTAATGTCCCTCTAACCCTACACCATAATGTCACTATGCTAAACTTGGTTACCTCTGTTCCCTCCTCTTAAATCAGTTTAGTATCTAGCTGTTTTCTGCAGAACTTCCTGTGGTTTTGTAACAGACCTTATTACTCAGCACAGTGACTTACATCTTTGGCTGCATCGTCTCTCAGAACTGGAAATGGGATACTATGTGCCTTGAAAGATACAACGCAGATGTCTCATTTCTGCTGTCCTCAGTGCAAACTACTACAGTGGGTTTGCACTTACCACCCTGGGCTCCCTGCAGAGGATACCCTTCTTCTCAACAGCTGTGCTTTCAGACAACTGTTCAGAATGTAATTCACCTTTTCTGAACATGAAGGTGATTAAAGAGGAATACATTTATCTCCATGTTCCTACAGCCTAGCACTGTAACAGTCCTTCCCTTCATGTGTTTCCGTATGTTTCAGTATGTAAAATCTTTTACCAGAGGGAGAGGACACCACACAAACCCCTACTGAATTATGCTGCCATAGAGCAGAAAGGCAAAGCCAACAAGAGGCATCTACTTCATCTATGTTACAATACACTTACAAAGTTACCAGTTCCACAGGGCTAGTCCAGCAGATTTTATGCCACCAGTAGCATTTGTTGTAATAACCAGCAGGAATTTACTGAAATATAGTTCAGAACATAGATACCACCGTAGCAAGGGTAATTTAAACAGCCTGGAGAGGTACTACATCACAAGATATATCTTTTTATCCTCAGGGATCTGACTCTAAAGGCAATGCCAAAAATCAGCCCCAACTTGTACAATTTCACTTTTCACACTTCAACTTCCTTTCTTTTTGGCATTCCCAGGAAGCTTGTGACACCTGAAAACGTTAATCCACCATATGCTTCACTCAATTCCTAAATTACTCTTCAGTTTCCTCTCTCATCCTTCAAACGGAACCTCGGCTTATAAAGGATGCGTCAGGAACATATGGGTTTAGGCTGAAAGGGCTCATACAAGTTGTGACAGATTCACTTCTCCGAGCATTAATCCACTTTAATCCAATCAGATCACACACCAAACTCTCAAAATCCTTGCGGCTTTGTCAGCACCCGTTCTGGTAAAATCTAAAGGTTAACAAATTCAGTAGATCCTGCACTACTGGTATCAACACTGAGAGCTCCGAGGGAGAATGTAAAATGAGTTAAAGACATAGAGACCACACACTGGTAACACTCCAGGCTTTTCCCAACAGGATGTAGAACCCGAAAGTCTTGCGTCAGAATGCAAGTGCTGTAAGATTACCATGCTTCAATAACCCAGTCATTTCAAGGATACCAAAGTAAGAGGAAGATACAAGAAGATATAAAATGTGCAATTTTGACACCACTTCCTCCCTGCTTGAGGAAGCAAAGTGTCCCTAAATCTCTAAATGCCTCATGCAGGCACAGCAAATAAATGATCTGGGGTGGGAGATGACAATCTCCAAGACCCACGAGGATGGGGAAAGCTATTACAAAAGCTGTCGAGTGTATCATCTTGCTGTAACACTCTTCTTGTGAGAGATGCAAGAGCACTTGCAGCTGTTAAACACTGAGGAGAAACAGCTTAACATCCAAGTGTATCCCTCAGAGGGCATCCTACAGAGCGACAACAGCTTTTAAAGGCAGATGAAAACCTGAAGGACACCGGAACTAGATGAGATACTAAGAAAAAATACCCCAAACCATTTCAAATATATAAAAATGTGTACAAACCCTGACGTATAAAAGCCTTCCTCCATACCCTGAAGGAAGAAACAATGCTTACTCACGTACATGCCATTTGTACCCAATTCAATAAACTAATGTTGTGACTGATGCACTCTGTACTCAAATGCAATAGAAAACCAAGGTCTTGACCAGCTGTAGTCTTGAAAGATATGAGGGCTCTTGGGAAGAGCAGACATTAGTCTGTGTTCAGGATGATTCCATCCAGGCCATTTCCCTTAGCACTGAATCTTCATGGGCAAGGGTGTGCTGGTTCACTCTGAGCCCTGCACAGCACAGGAAACAGGTTTATTCCAGAAGATGCTGCAGTGAGCCTCAAAATAAATGAAAGGGCTTCAGGATCAAAGGCATGATGTAGGATGTTAAAACATTTTCTGTCTCAAGGTCATCCATACAAAACCTGTTACGGATTCTGTAATAATAGAAGCAGTCGCTTCATGGAAATACATTTATTATAAGATACCTTTTAATCCTCCATGCCTTTTTTTAGCACAAAAAGTTGGATTTTTATCACCAGCTCTTTCATAAAACTTCATATTGTATGTCTGGTAATGTCACTGTTTCAGCAATTCCTCCCTGGAAATCCCATGCCTGCAGAACCTCGGCAACACGGGCAGTAAGTGACCTACACAAAGTTTAATAGAAAAGTTTTACTGAATATCCTCTGTTTAATGTAAACAAGGCAGGAGGCAAAACAAGGAGTATATATTTCATATAGTTCCACTATTTTACAGGGCACAGAAAGCATCAGGGATCATGGCTTGAAAACCCAGGATGAGACACGACATCAGACACGGATTTCCCATGCAGCCGCAAGTCTCTTACATCCTCCTTCCATTTTACCTGGCACTTTGCTTTAGTTAGTATTTCTTTTAGCAGGACAAATAGCAGTAATAAAATGCCACCTGTGACATTACACAGCAGGCTATGGTAGAAATTACCATGCATTTACAAAGCCAAAGCCATGATTACTTGTGCCCTGTAAAATCGAGTGCGACAACCTTTACACTAATCATAGTGTAAGCAAGCTCGGGATTCTGGTCCTTTTATATATATATATATATGTATATATATACATAGGTGATGTACAACCAGACTCAAACTGTGGTTCAAGTCACAGCTCTTATATTGCACAGACAAATACATAGTAAGAACATTACACAGACAGGATCTGAATACTGGGAATATTACAATCATATGAGAAACTAAGGACAAACTTGTTCTACCAGAGCTAGTACATGGCTTATTACAAAATTTCCTGTATCAGTCTAAATCAAACACATACTGCAAATGGAAAAAAGAAGTAAAAAATGTGTCTATTTACACACATGTGCATTAGGATTAAAATGTGGTTTGGATCTGCTTTCTGAAAGATAAAGTTACTCTAGTATTACCTCTCAAGTATTTCAGTCTAATACTAGTGGCCGTATTCTCTAAGGTGATACGCACTTGCATTTCCCACTGACAGCTGGAGGATCTGCATATGCTGTGGATTTCAGGCCATGTATCTTCTCAGGTGTCCACCTCTGGGTAATAAATAACCACACACAAACACACGTACACAGAAAGGAAATGGGCACCTCAATGACATGCATAGATCGGAAAGGTGAAAACATGGACCTGGACTAACTTCTAACCTTCTGTTTTTAAAGAAAGTGCATGAAAAATATCACACAAAAAACCAACAATGAAATGAGTTCCATCTCTTAAAGAAAATTAAATCACTTTTACAAAAATAAAGGTCACTGTCACGGTAGTTCAGGGTTTGTAGGCAGCACTCACAAAAGCAGTTTAGGCTAAAGCAACCTGAAGGATTGCTTCACTTCTATCAGGATAGATCCAGGTCTTATAAATTCAGCACTGAATAACATTTGGTTTGCAAGAACATTGCCAATATTGCTGGAGACTGAACAATTACATCCTGAGTGAGTGTTTATACTTACGTCTACTTATTTTCCTCATGGACAAGCTTGAAGGAATTGCGCTTGCAATTCCATAGGCTGTTTTGCATTAAAATGCCACAGAGGTTGCAGCAGTCCTTCCAGAGGCTGACTGATACAACTACTCACAGTGCAATGAGCTTAGGTATCAGTGAAAACAATAACTACAACAACAGAGGTGATGTTAATGCTTTCTTTTGAGATCACGCATCTCTTGAATGGCTTTATAAATTGTTATATTACTTGGAATGCTCTTGCAAGTCCTGTTTAACATTTTTCTCACTTTCTAGTAAGATAATACTACTAGCAGTATTATCACTTCCAGTTTGCACTGAAATTGAAGTATTTTGGAACATACACTTGTAAGAAAATAAATAATGAAAGTAGAAAATTTGAGGAAGAAGTAATTAGGCTCAAGCAAACCCAACAAAGACCCAAATTCAGTAAAGCATCAGCACCTGTGCTCGACAGCTTAACTTTGCTCATGTAAAAAACTGTGATTTAGCAGTCGAATTCCTGAAATGAAGCTTTAGTTTAACTGCTTTTCTGAATTGGGACCTTATTCATAACAAAAGCATGTATTAAATATCACTGCAGAGACACATGTTCTAAACTATGTGTTGGATATGTTACACTAACAAAGCTTCTAATATGTACTGACTGCAAAAGACATCACTAAAAATCATTTGCTACTTTCAAGGTATGTTTCTAAAGACCAAAAATGAGAAAAATGTCATCTTTTTAAACTTTATCCTACGATGCTGTTTGAACCTGAAAACACTTTGGGGCTAAATTCAGAGAAAAAGAAAAGCTGAGGAATTAAAACAAGTTTGAGTTTGCCACATAAATGCACCACATTGCACATAAACCTCCCAGTTTAGGGAGCCACTGAATAGAGGTTTCACCTGCCAAAATGCTTCCCCAGTTCCAGAACTGCTCTTCCCAGCTGAACCTTTACTGGAAGCTTTTATAGCAAGACCTTCTACATTGTTGTGACAAAAATAGATGTAGCCCATTAACTGTGACACTGCTGTAATTAACCTGCTAACTTAAAAGTCCTCTCAACAACCAGGTTCCATAAATATTAAAACCCAAGACCTCAAAGGCATAGATGGATTCAGAGCAGAGTCTGATTCTAGGTACAGTCATGTAAATATAGAGAAATTCTAATGACTGAGTGAATCAGTCCATATTGCATATGAGCAATCACATCTGAAAGGGGCACCAGCTGGGCCAACAGGGTAGTAGGAAAGATAAAGGTAGGAAGACAATGTAAACATAAGGAGCTAAACTCTACCTTACCTGCCTACACTGTTGTGTTCATAGGAGGGGAAAGAGGTACTACACACTTGTGCAGAGTGGGACAGGTCTCCAATCCAAGCCCCACAGTGTGACTTGAAGGTTAAAGCACTTGAAGGTTAAAGAACCTGACAGTGCACATGTGGCAGTGAGCTGCAAGAACTGTCTGCAGGACAGGCTGCCATCATGCTAGAGACAGAAGCAAAGCACACTGAGGTCCGAATGGCCCTCTGCCTGAAGTGCAAATACCTGCCCTGGCTGATAGTATTCATTATGAAACAGATTCACTGAGAGACATCTCTTATGGAAATCAGGAGAATATTTTGGTCCTGTATATGGTATCAAACGAATTGGCATCAGTGAATCTTTTGCTGGGTGTTGCTGCGATGCTTAGATAAGCAGTAAAAACACTGCTAAAAAGCATGAATGCTTATGCTGCCAATTTTCAAGGCACAAAAGATTCTTAAACCAATTCAGGCTAAATACCAATTTAAAAGAAATCAAAAATACTGTTTCAGCAACAACTTCTAATGACCTATAATTAACTTCCCTGTAAAGGTGACGTAAGTCAAGCAACTAGAATTCACACGTAAAAACCTAAAGCAAATGTAGTTACACAGACAACCTGAAGAGCAATCACATGGAATGACAGAGGCAAACATGCTAGGAACATGTATGCTTCAGATATATTTGTTAGAGATGTGATGCTGAATCAGGATTCATTCCATTAGTATTGATTTTATACTGATATATCTCTTGGATTAATCCATTGGGGAAAGAGGCTCAGAGCTGTCTTTAGGGTTCACCAGAACAAAAATGACTCCTCATTAATATATCCTACTGTATATGGATTGGTAGGGTTCTTTTCACCTCTTCATTTTCAATAATATACAATGTATCTATAGTTGTGATTTCCTTCCAACTGAAAAGAAAAAGAATTAAGAGATAAAAATGTTACAAAATTAATTTGCTTTTAAAAGTAATATGGTCACAAAAGCGAATTGGTGCACGTGAGCCCCAGAACATACAAGAGACCCAATTCTCTAAACATCGTCGTTACAACAGAATAACCAAGGTCTGATGTCTGTGGTTCTTCATTCAGCTTTTGCAGCTCTTCACACGGTGGCTAGAAACGCAGTGTACTGGTTTCTCCCCAGACTCCTTCAGTCGTATTCTAGGTCCATTTGAATCCCTCTCTCTTGCAAAGTCAACATCTGGTGAAAGCAACTTGTCTTGCCATTCTGCCAAATGTCAACTGACACTCTGCCAGGAGGCACCACCTCTTCTTATCGGGGTGTTGTCAATAGTCTTTGCGACTGAAACAAGCTGGGTGGTTTTACAAGCCCGGCTGCTCATCAAGGCTGCTTATGGTGTAGATGAAGCATGATACTTCACAAATGCAATTGCTGCCAGCTCTTTGCAGAACTCTTCCAGCACAATCACGCCCTCTAGTAATGTCATGTGGTCAATGCTGAGGAAGAAAAAACAGCAGAGAATCAAGATTCCAACCCAAAAAACCCAGCCATGGCTCTTGGAGAATATGCAATGTTTACTCACATGGGCCCTTCTGGCTCCAAGCCCAGCAGGCGTTTTCTGACCAGCAGAAGTTTGGGAGTGAAATCCGGGATGCGCTGGATTCTAACCATGAGGTCCCCGACGACCTGTAAAGCACAATGCCATCAACACACAAAGTTAACACCTTTGCAGAGTGTCTGGCAGCAGGGTTAAATGAACCTTCAGTGCCTAGAATGCAGCCTCACTTCAGCATCCTCACAAAACAACATGCCCCCAAAAGGAGGGCAGAGGGGTGGTGTGTGTGTGTGCAGAAAGTAGAGATACCAAAGGACAGAAGGACAGGAACTCCTGAGCCTTACCTGCCATAGCTACAAATGGTATTACTTATTTTAATTAACGATTAATTTCTCTTAGTAAACGTTGACACAGGCAATTGACAAGAAAATGCCTGGATTTAGGGAAAGCACAAGAGGAGAGAGCAAAGATTCTATTCTGAAATGGGGAGGGCTGCAGGGGGAAAAGGGAGCTAGGCCCTCTGTAAGTACTGGACAAGCATCATTAACAGGCTCCCGACCAGCTTAATAACAGCTGGTGCGTGGGACAGGCGAAGGATCTCTGACTGAGGAGACTGCAGTGTGACAGGCACTCAGCCAGCACTTGGAGGATGCAGGTCTGGCAGGAAGAGATGGAATCAGAGAGGGAAAGGAAGGGGATTTTGATAAATCCAGGACATCACTGTCAAGAACAGTCTTCATCAGAGAAAATAATAAAGAGGATGAGCAGAGATATTCATCCAAGCACAGGATATTCAGGAGTGTCATTTGCTTGTGTGTGTAGTATCAAAACCATCTCCTTCCCCTCCAGGTGCAAGCCTGTACTTGGCCTGTTCCCAAAGCACTACCTGATGTTGCCTGCAAGTGACAACAATGTGACCTAGTCCAGTTTAAAGCAACAGCATTGCCACGGGGGATACTCTGCACAATGAAGCTAAGCAAACAAACAGTTCTGAAGACACAGAATCATAGAATGGTTTGGGTTGGAAAAGACCGTAAGATCATTCAGTTCTAACACCCCTGACATGAGAAATATTCCAATGGTTTTAGTAGAAAGTCCAATATCTTGACTCAACTCAAGAATGTAAGTACCTACTTTCAGTGAGAAGCCACTTGCCAACTTAAACTACCCAGCAACTACTATCACTAAGCACAAAGCTAATAAATACATCAGTGCTGTATAGCCATATATAGGTATTAACTGTGTGTTTACTCACCCTGACAATAACTGAGAAGAGAGACCTGCAGCCAGAAGCTAGGTTTACATAGGGATCCAAAAGGTATTCGTGGATATGAGGATGGGGAAACAAGGCCAGTTTGGACAGCACTGAAGTAACTTGTAAATTTACATCATAGGGCTGCAATAAAACAGGAAAACACAGAGCTCAGTTATTTTCATGCTGGCTTCTTTTCATCCAGCCAGTGTTTGTTTAACTACTAGAACCTTATATAAAGGGTTATGAATAAAGATCAAAAAACAGATTAGAAGTCAGGCCCAAACCCTCTGCTTTCTACAATAAGAATGATGTGAATATGACAGTTTGATATTAGATGTTATTATCTGTTTAATTGCTAGAATCACTTGAAGCTTTTGCATACTTGTTTACTTCAGGATAAATCCTTTTCCTGTAAAACATTTCTTCAGTTCAGTAGCTAAACAAATAGCATAGAATCAGCCTAGATTAAACATCTGCTTGCTTCTCCTGGAAAATACACTGTGAAGTATATAAGCACAGGAAATGAGAGAGACAAATCTGTATTTACAGCTAATATGGTATTTCTCTTCCTCTACTTTATCTTCAAAAGAACCATTGCAGAAAGCCCAGTCATCCTGTGGCAGCATGCTATGGGAGATGAGACAGTCCTAGACTACCTATGGGAAGGTAGCATGGAATTCTAACTCCTTTCCCCAAATCAACCAAATGGAAGAGGCAACACTGTCGGATGTCGGAAAACACTCATCAGTCATATGGAAAATACAGTACCTAACTTTCTAGGAAAAAAAATACAGTTCCTGGCTTATAGGATTTACCATTCCAGTGAGAACCTCATTTCCATAAAAGCAAGTATTTTCACCAGGACTTCTTTATGTTCCAAGTACTTTTTTTCCATCTTTGATTTTCTCATCACAGTGAAAACAGGTTGACATTTCAATTCAGCCCAACTCTGAAAACTAGTGGCATTTCCTTCCATCTATTCAGTGGTGGAACAGACTATGCTGACAAGAGATGGACAGACATTCCCTTGGTACACCCCTATGCCAGTCTGAAGATGTTACCAAACACACATAGTTTAATTTAACCTTGTTGATTTTACCAAATCAGATTACAGGGCCCTCATTCAATCTCTCTGAGTGCATATTGGCAGTAACACCCTCAGTGGCATAATCACATCCAGGAGAGGATGATTTCATGGCCTCAAATTATCATCTTTATGCTCCCAAGTTAGCATCCTATTGCAGAATCAGAGAACAGATTCTTCCCTTCCAAACTCTGTAAGGTTTGGAAGAACTCAGCTTCAGATTAGGACAGATATATTTAGATATGTCTAGATGTTTAAGCTCTCATTAGCCTACTCAACAGAGACCTTGATAACACTTGCCTACACACCAGCACCTCATGCAATTTCAGATGCTCAGGAGTATCTGCTGGTCTCTTGGCAGTTCCAACAGAGGGCGGATGCTGCGAGATCTGTGTTATAACCAGGAGCTTATGGGAATATCCTGGGCATCACAAAAATGGCAACAGATAGCTCGGTTCAGGTACCCAAGTCGAGCCTTTCGGTCAGTTAAGTCAAGGAAGCTGAAAGAGACACCTACATGCTCTTCAGTCTAAAAGCTCCAGAGCCTCCCAGCGCTGTTCTGGCAGAACTTCCACTGACTAGACGGGAGCACATAACTAATACCTAGGTTCCTTGTTCCTCATTCATTACCACACACTGCTGCATTGCAATGGGAGTTGTCTTACAGATCTTTTTAAGTGAAAGTACCTATTTCTCCCAGCCAGTGGCAGTTATTTCTGTACTTGATATTCAAGCAATAGATTCATCCCAACCTTCTAACGAGTGAAACTTTCAGACCCTGGACCAGAGATGTTATCGGTAAAAGAGATCACTACATTTTGAGTTACCGTGGAAAACTTACTCTGCAGACAGAAACACAAATTCCTTCCAAAAATCCATTCCACTGCCTACCTAGCTGAAATGAAGAAGGTCTTTAGAGCTGAGTCAGTCAATTCATTAGGAAGCTTTGAAGCCATGAGCATTATCTGGTGTTCACAAGAAGAGAGGGAAACCAAGTAGTAACACGTGCTTCATCGTTCAGACAGATTGCTGTTGCGATCTGAACTAATTGAGAGCATTAAGGAAAGCTGCTTCTTCCCATGGAGCTTTTATTTCTGTCCATATGTTGGTAGACTCAGTAAGGCAGCTTTATTATCAGGTAACATGCTAAAAAAACTATAACTAAAAAGGTTAAAACCTGCAAAATTTGCAGTTCAGGGAATTCTTACAAACTTCTTAGTAAACAATCACTTCCATGGAAATGTGTAATACTAACAGGAGGAAGAAGGTACTATCTGGCAGATGGGGTACTGGATTTGAACAGCCTTGAGACAAGTTACTTCACCATCTTCTGTCAGAAACTAAGTTAATGATACCTATCACCTCTGCAAAGTTTTCTGATATCTACTGAGAAAACCTGCTAATACAACAAGAACAACCTATAGTATTGTAACAAAGAAGAACAGACATCAAACACAAGCTGTTAGTAGCACTGTGTCCCCACTAAAGGCTTTTCAACATTTTTCACTTTGGGCATTAGCACCCATTAAATCAGAATTGTCATTGACAGGATCCAGGTTTTGCTGTTCTGTACTGTTTTGTTTTTCTCTACGTGATTTATGTGCTTCATTGTGAATAACCCCTAGGAATTTCAGGGGCTTGGTATGATACAGTAAGAATTCACCCCTTCTGATTCAAGCAGTATATTTTATTCACCTGGTGTCAAGAACCATTTTTGACACCACAGATCGTACCATTTTGTTTGACTAACCCAAATGTGTGTCATGCTGACAGGTAGTGTATCAAACTGGGGACTGTGCTTCCATGCCAGATGCTACTTTTGTTGTAATCATACAAATCTGACACTACAGAAGTTACAGAAAGAAAGATCTTCCAAGTTACAACTTCTGTGTCATTGCTCAGACAAGGTTTTCATACCCACGAGGCTTGTTTTTCCTATGAGCTGATGATGGCCAGTCTTCATGACTCCAATCTATAACCATTTCAGCTAGTCTAATGTGCAGAACATGTTTACTGGAAACAAAATCCAGAGAATAACAACATAGGAACGGAAGTATTTGACTTTCTTTTCTCACTTCTGAATTGTAAAGGTTGGTACTCTCAAACATCCTTCTCTCCTAAACACTCACAGAGCTTACCTAGAAGCTACTACTGGCTTGCTGACCTGTCTCTTATTTCTGGTCAATGAAACATCTGGTACCAAAAAAGTGGCTAACAACGGTAAGAGAGGTTTTGTTCACTATTTCTAGTAAATTGACAATACTGATCACTACAGCATCCTGCAATCTACAGAGACCTGCATCAAGGACATGGGACATTACACAATAATATGATGCTGTAAAATACACTGCAGTAATGAAACTTCATGGGACCTTATGGTGATTGCCCCTTAGCAGTGATGGAAGTATAAGAAATTGAATTAATAACCTGCTTTTCCTTACCTGATCAAGAATCCTGCCCATTCTTTCAAACAGGACTTTCAAAAAGTGTCCTTCAAAAAATGATGCTTCTAAATTGCACTTTTCCAAAGGTCTGGGAGATCCAGGCCACTCCCACCGTAAACAGATGACACAGTAATCACGGAACTAGAAAAATATAGCGAGGAAAACAGACTTAAGCCTCCATGGAAATCATTTCATTTCCTTTTAATAGTCCATACACCTTAAAACCTTAATCTGTAGCTAAATGATAAATGTAAGCTCAAAAAGAACATTCACTCTAAAGTAAACACTGTCAGTTTCTATGAAGGCACCTCATTTTCTTCTTGACATTCATGCTATTAGGGTATTTTCAGAAACAATGAGTGGAGAAGAGAGCTCCCAAAAAGCAGCTGGTGCCAAAACACAAAGCAAAGCCAACAATACACATCCTGATCAGGGTTCCTCTGAAGCAGGAACTACATTTGTATACATTCTTCTTGACATTATGTTACCACACTTTCACTGAATTACATGTAGCTTATCTTGCTATCCAGTCTACATTGCTCCCTAATTCCCAGGACAGGAAAGGCACAAATATATGCAGGAGCTACAGATGAAAAGTACTTCAGGGCTTCATCTTCCCTCTGTTTCCAGTCACCCACAGCAGTCCTTCCCAATGTATGTCTCTGATTTGCTATGGGCTGCATATATATGGAATTATACCTTGAAAGGAGCATAGGTCATAGCAGTGAAAATAAGGAACACAGGAATAAACAGTAGCAAAAGAGAGACAAAACAGACTCAGCAATTCTTCACTGCTTATAGCTTACCTACTTGTGCAGGCTCCCAGGAATAGAAATATGGAAGCAGAACAGCTATTTGGATGCAATAACAGCAATAGGCAGGGCTATTCTTAGGGGGGAAATATTTTATGAGTAGCCATAGCATTGTCAGGAAGTGACAGAAAGCAATTCTGTTCTCTAATAACTCCCAGAATACTCTTTTTTCCCAAGATATGAAAGAAATACAAAGATGATATGTGCTTTCTGGCATCCAAGAATAGAACATAGGGGAATTTTACATCAACCTTTTACTTATTCTCCCTTTTTTTCACGTGAGACCACAGATAAAACAATATCATAAATACAGAAGTCCAACCCTCCCATCTTAAACTGCTGATATCATAATCCAGGGGTTATGGAACTTTTGAATTACCTACTAACATAGTTCCCTCAATTACTCCCTTCCTTTGCATAAATTTTTCTATTCTAGAAGATTCAGAGGGCTTCAATAAACTGCAAATAGACAGTGACTGTCTTCTAACCAAGGGAACTTTAGATTATGTTGGTAAAAACAAACCCCACATTTATTTCCAACCAGTCAATCATAAAATTTTCCCTACCTACCAAAGCTCCCAACTTCAAACCTGAATGCCTTAGGCTGCACATTCCCTGTGATGAGCCTTTATTTTTAAAGTCCCAGATTGCATAACTCCTATGCAGCATTTTAATTTCCCTTTAGTCCTTTCAAACAGCTTGGCAGGCAATTCTCCAAGAGAATGCAGATAAATGCAAAAGCAAATTAAGAATCTATCTGCAGCTCAGATTTTCTCTCAGTGTGTTTGTTATATGAATATTAATGCATTTAATGTCATCCATTATTCCCACTAGAGTAATACAAGGTGGATTCACCATCAAAAGATCTCTCAAGGTAAGTCTTCATTAGAAACTAAAAATTGAAGTTTCCCATCTTCCATTACCAAAGATGCATTTAGTAGGGCTATTTATAGAACCATCTGGATATTCTCATAAGTGCTTCAAACTCTCAAGGACTAAGGAAGACTTTACTGACTTACTTGTCTGTGGGCATCTCTGAGGTAAGTATCATAACCTGTACCTTCCACGTGGTATGATGACTTGGCTTCATCAGGTACAAGACAGAGGAAACTAAAGAGAAAAGAAGTACATTAATGATTACCTATAATCCAAAGAGCACCAGATCAATACTTTCTCATCACCTGTGACAGTCTACACAACACTGAATTGTCTGGCAAATTCATCCACAGTTTCTGCCATAACCTTATGTGAAGAACAGAGAACACAAAATCTATTGAAGCGTGTCTCTTCTAACTGCTGTTTGTAATACCAAGATACCTACTTCAGAACTTCTGTATCTAGCATCAGAGGTAAAACCTCAGTGGAAGCATTTTATGAGAACCAGCAGACAGAATGGAAATGAAAAGGAATATTCATAACCAGGTCAAGTATTTGCTAAAGGTCAGACTCCATCTTACAAGAGCATAAGGAAAATGTACTGAGGAATAAATGAGCCAAATGACAAGGAGAATTACAGTTAAAATTCTTCTTAACCTACTGCATAGGCAGTTTTATTTACCACAATTAGTTGGTGGAACATGTAAGAGTGCACAGGACTATCTGAATTTAAATGTCCCAGTTACAAATAGCCTTTGTCAGGTATGCAGCACAAACACTCTGTGTCCTTATTACTTCACCAATATCTGACCTAAAAAGCATGAGGAGATTCTGAATCTTAGAGGGAAGCATCTTTTAAAAATAAATAAAACCCCTAAAATTTCTGGAGAGCAAAATAAAACTCAGTCTTTGCACCCTGTTTCCAAATTTCAGCTTTCCCCACACCCAAAGAACTGCTGGAGGCTCCTGTAAGATTTATATCCAGGAATACGTAGGAGATGACTTTTAGTATGAAGTTCATCTTAGCTGAAAAAATACAAATTGGCAAAACACTGCAACTCCTGAAAACACTTCTGTTCAGTGATGGAGATTGCAGGAGGTGAATTTAGGAGAGTGTTCTTTATGCCTTTGCTCCAAACCATGTCCACCGTCAACTATATATAGCAGTTCTAGGGGAAAGAGGGCAAGAAGTGATAATGCCATTCCATGCTGGCTGTCCTTGGGCTGTTCTCCTCTGGCTAACACCTTTGATTATTTCTGGGTAAGTAGATAGGTCAGCACTGAAATACCAGTGCTGCTTTGCTACTGTGTATTAACAGAGCAAACAGCACTTGTCCTAATACTAGTTGCTAGGAGAATTACCATCACTAAGTTGCTTCCAGCAGAGCCTATCCTCATTGCAATATCCAATTTGCGGTATGTCTAACACGCATAAAGGTATGTTTGCAGGTGACAAGAGGTGCCCCTTGATTTTAAGGGAACAGAGAGTACCTCCAGCATGGCAATTATTTGCTTAGACATATACATGTTCAAGGAGCTTTAGGAAGTTTGAGGGTTTTTGCCCCCCTAAGGAATTTACTGCAAGACTCCCCAGGAAGGCCGAGTCTGTAACAGCAGTTTAAGCATAGCAAATAGGTTTGAAAAAGGAAAGTTTTATAATCAGTGAGGCTTTCGTCACGAATTCTGAGTATTCAACTGCACTATTAGCTGGAATGTTATTCTATTTTTCTCATTTATGTTGAATTATTTTTACTTATTGTAAGCTCTAATCTTTCAGGAGTAGCTTTCTGATAAAATGCCACATAATTTCCTCTGTGGAGTCATTTTACCAGCTGGCAGAGAATAACATCCATTACAGAGCACATTTAATTTGCACAGTGTGTGCAGACACCCACACATTCAGAGAGTTCTTTAAGTGTCTGTTTCTTACCTATTTACAATTTTATGAACTTCAGTCTTCCCATCATATTTTTGATGTTCTGGACTGACAGGTGGAGAAGGACTGAGCCACTCCTGCGTTGACAATGTGTTATCTGGAGACAAGTCAGTAAATAACGGATCTTCCTCTAGGTCTCTGTGAGATTGTATTAGACAAAAACATTATCATTCATTGAATGTTATGGCAGGCAGGAAAATCTCTGGGTCAAAAGGCATGATTTCTATTCCAGTTCTCTGAACAACTAGGGTGTCTTCCAGAACAGTATCATAGGCACATCTTTTTACCTAATTAACATCCAGAAATACTAATCCTTACAAATACCCAACAAACATTTTGTTTTGATCAAAAATCATAAATTCCTGATCTGAACAACAGATTAAACATTTCTGACTTAAACAAAATCAGTGCATGAAATCACTTACACTCTTTAGCCACATGTTTTACATGTGAGAGACTTATACTTCAGGAAATCATTAATTATTTTAGATTACTCAGAAATATCTAAGTTAAGATGCCTAAACTGGTGGGTGCAACCAGTATTCCCCCCATCAGCAGAAAAGGAGTTACAAGAGTTATGTAGGGTATTTAAAAGCATTTTATGTAAAGTGTCCCAGAAAAGTTCTTCCATCAAAATGATTCCAGAACATAAATGTAAGCAAGACACCTAAGTGACTGACTTCAAGTAAAGTCTAATTGAAACCAATACAAACATACATAGGCTTAAGCTAGGTAGATGGATAAGTAAATTGCTATATGGAGACCTTTGAGAGCCTATTTGTCTGGAGAGTTCTTTTCTGTTAGTGTTCTAAAAACTTTCATAAGTTGCTGATACAATAATTTCTGCGTCATTTTATGGATATGGGTTAATACATGGAGCACTTGAAGTGCTGTCTACACTCACTTTTCATTCAATTACCACTGCTTTGCTCTAAGGATCCAAGTTACCTGTTGTGAAAACTTCCCTTAAAAAAGAAACTTACACTGCTCCTGCAATCTGTCCATTCTCTACCACGTCTTTATCTTCTTGACAGAAAGGCTTGTATTCTATATAGTTTCTTTCTTCTAAATTTCTCAGAACCAAATTATAAAGAATGTGCTCACTGGGTTTTTGCAAAAGGTACTCAAACATTCGTAAAGTCATTATGCTGATCTGCAACACAAAAAGTGACAATTCAGTAAACTGATGCACCGCTGCCTTACACGTTTTGCTGGTTTGTACATTCTAGAACACTGCAATTACTTCTTTATGTTACGGAAGGAAGCAAAAATCCAAAGAAAAATGAGGAAATTGTTATGCTGGATGTGGTATAAACATGGATGAATTCACACACATCTGAAAATCAGAATGTGGATGTACTTTTTTCCAGTAAAACAAAACCTGTCCTAAAATCTGCCAAAATAACAATACAAAGCACATCCAGAGAACTTATAACTTAACTTTTCATATTACAATCAAATCCATACTGGAAGACCATGATCACTGTGCCACTGAAATACAGAACAGGGCTTACAGTTAGTAATAAATATGCAGAATAAACCAAAGTCATAGTGGAATATTGTGATTAAAACTACAGGCTAGGATCTTTACATGGAGATATGTACGCTTTTAGAAGGAGACTGACTTTAAGCAATACAGAGACAGTTTTCAAAGAGAGCTTTGGAGTGCTTAGCTTGGCAAAGATCAACTCATTTATACACATAACTCGTTCTGACAGGGTGAGCAGGTAAGAATACTGAAAAACTGGTGAATGTGAAGGCACAGATCTGTATTTCAGGCAAGCTTGGCTTTTATTTGAAAAGTAGAGGATGAAGATTGCTCCATGTTAAAAATGAATCAAGCAGCTCCTGAGGAGGGATTTTACTGAAGTAAATGGCTTTAATAATGTTTACTGTGTGTAAAGTGCTTAAATATTGCATTATCTTTTAACTGGTGGTGTGTATATTCTGACCACACTTACTTTATATATAAAAGAAGTTTTTAAGTATAGCTTATGTGATGACAGGACAGAATTGACACAACATGGAAAACAGCAGCAATAAAACATAATCAAAATGCAATTACAGATACCAATTTTGCCCTATCTTATATGTGAGCAAGCCTAACTAGATATATACAGGGAACAAGCAGATTTAGCAAAGAATCTTTATTAAGGGGAACAATGTGCTAGCTGGAGGAAACAGCTTGGCTTTCATTTTCTAAAGGGAACCTGTAGGGCTGGCAGTCAGAACTCTTTTCCTTGTCAAAAGAAGTTTGCTGTCACAAATATAAGAAGTCCTCACAGTGGTGTTTTAATAGCCCCTACACAAGACAGAACCAGCTGGCAGACGTTCTGATACCATTACTACTTCTCACCTCGTCAGATATATGATCACAGTGCTCAATTAACCTGTGTCGCAACGGATGTCTGTTGATGTCTGTCAAAGTTTCTGGCTCTCTGTTTTCCCCAAGTATAAAATAAACTGTTTCCTGCAGCAGGACATCTGAAGTCACCTGACGAACAATGCGATGCAATAGTGCAGTTGATGTGAGGATTCCGATCTCTGACCTGTTTGAACAAAAAATTTCATGTCAGATATGTCAAGGCCAGGTTGGACAGGGCTTGGAGCAACCTGGTCTAGTGGAAGGTGTCCCTACCCATGGCAGGGGGTTGGAACTGGATAAGCTTTAAGGTATCTTCCAACCCAAACCATTCTGTGATTCTATTAATCTACGTAGTAGATTTCAGCTGAAAAAAATCAGCTTGATTCAGATCCTGTTCTGCTGCATCTTCCAGGATGCTACTCACGTTTGCATCAGCTGGGGTTCCATAACATCAATGAAAAATCGTTCCCGCACAGCTTTTGCCATAGCAACAGCAGCAGTCTGAAACAAAAGTACAAAATGCTATGTCTCAAACTCAAAAGCTCAGAAACAACTGGGACTACTTATTTGCTGAATGTATTTGTATCATCGGTAAACATTTCAAACCTTTTGTGCTTCTTTGATGAGTTGATCACAGTAGTCAAACCATGAAAGAAATGAAATCAACGCTCTTTTCCCTGGAAAAGCAGATGCATCTTCTTTGTGGCTATAGGAATCCAAACTAGAGAATGCAGGGAAAAATACTTATTTAGTCTACAAGTAACTGAAAAATCTTGGACTTCATTCTTATTGAACTTAACAGAATCGTTAATGATCTACTGCAATGAAGTGAACATTAAAATAGCTTGTCTGGCAGTCTACTAATCTGGCAGTGCTGTCTATCATGCAGTAGCACGCTAAAGGGTACATAGTACACACAGCAGCAGAACTGTGGTTACGTTATTTCTTGCATCAGAAGGAAAACTCTACACTTCGTCTGTTCTTACAGGAAACACAGACTACAGAAACTGAATCAATAAGTCCTTTAGTCAGAGAACCATAAAATTAAGGCAATTGCTCTTCCCTGCTCTCTAAGCAACCCCAAGCAAGTCCACCAAAAGCACACAGAGGATGCCTGAACACATCTCAATTTAAAGGCTCTAAGGAACAATAAATTCATCATTTTCTTTGGTAAAGTCCTGATAAAGCTCTGTGTTTTTTTTTTCTTTCTAACTTCAAACTCCAACCACCAGAAATTTTGGCTTGGTTTCCCAAATACCTACTTTTTGTCTCAGTACTAACAGATCACGAGCAACTCATAATAATGAAGGCAGAGTGGGGAAAAGGAATGTTTTGAGAATGTAACAAGCAAGCACAATTAGGATAACAGGCCTTTATCTTCTCCTTCATGATGATGAGTTATGCAGTAACACTTTCCTTCTTCTTTTTTACTGCAAATATTTTGCAACAATAGCCTGTTATCAAATACAACCTTCCTCCTGCAGCAGCTTACAGTGCTGTGCACAGTGAAAAGTTTGCTTAGTTTAACAATAGAGTTGTAAATTTACAATAGAGTTACAATACTCTGTACCTGATACTACACCTACACTACCACTAATGTAACCCAGTGGAAAAACTTGCCCCCTGAGGAATCTCTGCAAGGGACTGGCAGGTAAACCTGTCCCCGTGTTAGAATCATGTGTACACTGGACACCCAAAGTCATCCTGCTATGCTGCAGCTGGTATCTCAGCTCTGCTCTTGAGACTTTAGCATGTGGGGGTGAATATTTTATACAACTTATTTACCTATAGAAAATTAGTTTCAGGGAGGGGTGTGAAGTCACAAAAATCAATTTCTTACCCCCAGTTAATTGCCTCCACTGTCTCAATGTCTAAGGGATCCAGCGACTGAGGCAGGGCTTTGTAGAGGGTGGCCAGCCTGTCTGTCAACAGTTCACATAAACAAGTGCTTTGAGTCAGGCACTTGGCAGCTGCTGGTTCTGGCAGACTCACCAAAAGCATGAGGCCCTCACAGGCCTTTACTGCTATCCGGCCGTCCTGGCAGAAGGGCATGGAAGAATTAATCAGAGGGTGAATGAAGCTCACTTGAAATCAAGAAGCAAACATCCCCAAATAAACCCTCACCGCTCCCCAAGCAGTGAGTGAATGCATTTATTTTTGTTGCCTTTTCAGTCACTGAAACTTAGTTCCACAAAATAAAAGAATTTCACCTAAATCCATGTCAAATACTAAGAATGCAACTGCAACCATCAGGTTGACAGAACTAGTGCTGTAGGTCAGCTTAAGACCTATATTACACAAACAACACTGACATACAGCAGTAGACTTGGTCTCCTGCTCTCCATGCTGCTGTGGCAATTACAGGCTTACCCAACGCACCTCTAAGTTTCCTGAAGGAATCCGAGTATTATTTGAGGATGGAGCTGGGTAAGACATACATCAGTTTTCTTTAAAGAAATCAAACCTCTAGAAATAGCCCAGTGCCTTTATAAAAAATGTGTGTTAGGACAGTACAGTTCCAAGTAGTTCTTTAAGTCCTCTTTTGTGGTATATTTAACCTAACGATCCTCCTATGTAGCTTGTTTGTGAAACAGGCAGCATCCTATGCAAATTGCTCAAAACATGTATTACCATTAATAAACTTTAGTATTACTTTCTAAAAATAGTATTTTTACTTAGATCTGAATTGGCAAAGAAAACTGCTAATTTACAACTGCCTGAAAAACAAATCTTGTTTTACTTTTCATATTTAAAATACAGTGTGTGCATACATGTATACTCACGCCCCTGCCCACTTCACACAGCATCTGAACTACTTCATTTTACCACATTAAATGGAACAAACCCCAAACAACTCACAGGACTTTTAGTGAGGTTTAGTAGAGAATTCACTAAATTATAGTCTTGATTTGGACCAACAGTGGAAGACCCAGGTGATGATGCGACATTTAGTTCATCCAGACTGAAAGAGAGCTCATCTGCCTGTTGTGGGAGATCATATTCCTTCTCCATCTGCTCCAGACCAGCAGCACTGGGCATTTCTTCAGGCTGAATGGGCTGTCCCACGTCTGTTGTCGAAGAGTCTTGTCCTCTTATCATGTCTTCTGTGATTACATCTGCTGATCCTTTGGAAGCCATTCCTTTTAACTTATTCTGCAAAGCATTTGTTTGGAATTACACAGTTGAAATTACTGTTCATCCTGAAGCAGAACCTTACTAAAAGCAATTTTTTAACATCAGCATTTGAAACACTTCTCCACAAGGCTGGATACAGTAACCATGTAGAATATAGTGGGTTGTGGGTGCATGGGAGTTTTTAAATCTAAACCATTTCTCAATCTGCTTAAATTTCTCCTAAGGCCTGTACTATTCTGCTTCAGGGCTTAATATGCCATTTACAAAGAGACGGCATCTTTTTCTCTCCACCACTGAAGGCATATATTCATTTAATTTGATAGAAGCTTTTTCATTTACATTATGATTGCACCTTTAGACCTCAGCACATACTATAAAATATCCCTTTCTAGGTGAATTTATCTGATGTCTGAAACACTATTTCCAGTTGGAGTAATAGAATTAAACTAATTCTAAACTTCTTGAGATTTTATCTTCAACAGGAAAGGGAAATAAAGGTATTTTATCACTGCAGAGTACTCTCAAGTTGTGTTTCTTACGAAGAAAATGCTGAGTAGACTGAACTGAGAGAAAATACTGGAAGTTAACACTGGATTCTACAACAGATCACACACCCTTCCTGGAAGCTACAAAGCATCCCTACTTAGCCTGGAAGAAAGCAACCCATCTTCCCATAAATCTGTCTCCAGCCCATAAAAAGACATTTAAATTTGTGCTCTGTGATACCATGAAGAAACACACTGCAAGCAAGAATTCAGTGTCCTTCTGGCATAGGCACAGGTGAGTAATACTTTATTAGAACCATAAATTAGACTTCAGCACAAGACAATTTTTCAAGTGAGTACAGTAGTGAGATTATAAATCCAAATGGGTCCCCTTCTCTATGATAACACCAAAATAATTGCAAATATATCTCAAGCATTAATAATTTAAAAGAGTAACCATTTGGGGTTAATGGCGTTTAGTGCATACAAACCAGCAGGGACTAACTACATGCCAGTCTCAGGCAGCAAACTTGAGAGCTGCTCTGCATGCTTGCTGAATTGATGTGCATTCACTGTGGAGAATTTGCACTGAATGTTGTGATACACTCATATAACCAACTCCCTGGAGAGGCAACATGGTGGTAAAAGCAGCACACTGCATGCTATAAAATAAGTATGATTTTTGAGTACAGTAGAAAAACTACTCCTTCAACACATGCTTCTTTTTTTTTTTACAGTGTGAAACGCATAAGGCTGCAAAGCAATCCAAATGTGCCTGTGAACCAAGTCTGTCTATCCCTAAATCTTCTAGAGTCTTCCAGTATGCTCCCATATATTTTAGCAATACACAGGAATATCTGAATCACAATGATGAGCCTTGCACATAAAGCAAAACTAAAGGATGGAAATGCATTTATAAAATACTTATCTTACACTGGTCCATTACCTCATGTCTGGACTCTTCTGTCATTTGAAAGGCTTTAGTTTAGCTAAGGCATCAATGAGAACACCTAACACATGTAACTGTATAAATATCCCTCCATAGCTCATTACTTTTACATTGGCAGGTAACACAAAGCAGTCTGTACATTGGACAACACATAGGCAGAGTTTTTATGTGTATTTAAGCTTCCTATTGTCTAATCATGCAATTCTGCAGCTTAGCTGCTCACCTGCCTCTTGTAAAGGTGCAAAACAGGATCCTGAATGACCTAATAGAAAAGGTTACATAAAACATATATTCAATGCTTTCTAGACAAAGTACCCCTCTAACGGAATTCAACATCAACACAGAGCAAACAATATATAAACACATTTCTACATTTTCACATTTTCACGATATGCAACTATTAGAATTCCAACACCTGTGGCAGATGATGCAATGGATAAGTTCAAATAGATTTAAAAAGAATTCTGTGAAAAAAATCAAGTGATATCACAGCTAATGTGAATCTCCACTTAATTCATGGTGAGGAATATACAGCTGGCAATTTGTAGTGATGAAAGTAGAGGTGAATAGTGAAACTAGTGTTGATTTTATATGAAGGTAGGACCTTCTAACAAACCTTGTAACAGAACTTGTTTAAGGTCTCAAGAGCAGAAATTGAAGCACAGATAATCACAAAACAATCAGTTGAAAGGGGGATCTCATGTAAGGTATGATAAGATGGGGCAACTAAGGAATAAATAAATAAGGAAAACCATGAGGCAACAAGTTTAGCATAAAATGGCTGAGATAGAGGTGATAAATGTTCCTGTGTATGTTCTTTCTCTCTACACAGGAACAAGGAAAATTCAGTTTAAACAGAATTAGTATATGGATTTAAAAGGTTTAAAACCAGTTCCTATTTCCACAACAGAAGTAACTTGCCCAAGAGATACAGTTATGCCATACAGCTTTAAGTGATAAGAGTTGAAAGATTTTTCTAAATACAAACAGCATTCTGTCAGCAAACTATTTCTTATGGGATCATACAAAGGAAATCCTGGGTTTATACACATTCATTTTTTTATGTTCATAAAATACTGACAAAATAAATAAAATAAGAAACTGATTAAGCAAAGAAGGCAGCAAAACAGATACAAACAGACTGCTTTGCAGAGATGTATCTGCATTTCAGTTTCTAATTTTTGTGATTTTAGGGATAAATGCCACAGAGAATTCTGTATATTTACCCCTTCACACATTTGAAGGTTAGAAGTAGCTATCAAGTCACAACAGCACCTCTAAGAGGCGCAGACATGAACAGAATATTCTATTCTAATAAAGAACAATTCTGCACCCAAATACCTTATCCGGACACAACTGTCAGAAGTCACGAAGGCATACTCCTTAGCCTCTGACATTTAGAATAACGTTGTGAAGGAAACAGGAGCTCCAAGAAATATTCTTCAGTTTGCCTGAACTCTATAGCCAGCATTTTGTGGTACTAGAGATCTCTGAAATTTGGAATCATCTGGGTTTTCATGTCTGATTTTGGATGCTGTAATCTCGCTACTTTTGGGAAGAATGACAATGCCTGACAAAACACTTGTGCTTCTTACAATTGGGATTCTTAGGTTTGATTTCAAGGGCACAAATGGCATTAAAGGTAATCCTGGTTTGGACTTACTGCCTTATTCTGCATCTACTAGTTTGCTTCTGAGTGCTTCTAATGTTTAAACACTAACTTGTCAATCTTTACACCATTTCTACAGCTTGCACAACTACAGTGGACATGATGGCAATCAGGGTTGCATTTAATTAAGGTAAAAATAAACTCAAGATAGATTTTTACTACTGACTTGTGATATTCATATACTCAATGGAAAATAATGTATCTTTGCAGTTTAGCTGCCTCTATTAGTACAGATCTTGTTTGCAGAAAGCCTGAAAATATTTGTGGAGGACACTACATCCATCTTTTCACCTACATATCATATGCTTAATAGATACCGTGTCACTACAGCAAACATGAAAGTGGGAGCAGGAGGTATTCCTAAACAGACTTTTATAAATTAAACTTTTATATGCTCCTTCTAAATGTGAACAGAAAGCCAGCCTAGAAATTCTTTCTCCTCCCACTCTGATTTCATCCATGCCACATGTTAAGTTTGAAAATGGAGTAAAGATATTTGGCTTTCTTACAGATAGAAAATAATGTCATATTGGAGATCGTGAGCTGGCACTGCAGCTAGACCATATGTGCCACTATCAAATAAGGGCCCGATCCTGCAGAACACTTAGCAACTTGCAAGGTGTCAATGCCCCATGCAATCTGTTCTTTAGTCTTCATTGGGCTGAAGACAAAGCAACATCTGCAATCCACTGTCTTCCTCACACAGTGATCTACATTATAATCCATGCTCCTACTCTACAGATACTTTCACTACAAAGGGTAAGGACCTCAGGCAGGTGTATTTGTAAGCCTTGAATGAAATTCTAGTAAAAATAATTGGATGTATCAAGACTCTGGAAGTAAAAACAAACAAACAAACTTCTAATATCACAGGAAAAAAACTGCAGAGTGAATAAAAACAAATCTAAGAAGCACAATTTGATACCTTCACTTCTCCATTAGATTTTGTCTGTGACACAGTAAATACACCTAGAAACTTTTGATTTGGTTTACTCGCCTCAAGGAAGAAGTTGACCAGGTATGGATCCTGTTTCAGCTTTGCACATACTATACAGAGAAACTGAATTTCTTCATTTTCTGTTGGTGTTGCCAGAACTTCACCACACAGCCTGATTAATTTCTGTCACATAAAGAAAAGCGAACATTAAGACAGAGGAAATTATAGCTTTTTCTAGGAATGATGGACTGAGTTATTTTTCTATACACATACTACAGTGATGTAGGATTATTGACTTAAACATTTGCTTTAGGTTTAGATGGCTGTGAACAAGACTTCTTTATTACTTTTGACTTGCATTGCAGTTGCAGTTCAAGGCTCCAATCATCAATACATTAAACTGATATTGCACTTGAGCAGTTTCTTTAACTCACTTGACAGTGGATGTATTAAAGAGCTCATTAGCTACAGCAGAATAAGAGAAACTTGTCATGCTGCAACGTAGCCTACTTCAAATTTGAACAGTACCTGCACTGGCCTGTGCACGTTTATGTGGGGAAGAAGAGGTTGCCGTATTCTTCCAAGAAGTTTTGTGTAAAAAGCCAAAACTTGCTGTTTCATTCCTGGAGGACACTGAAAGAAACCAGATGAGCAATAACAACAATGTAACAACCATGGAGAGAAACAAGATGCAAATTTGTCACTCAAAATGGCTAATGAAACAGCAATAATTCATCCCAAAGCATTTTTAAAATACCATCATCTGTTAGCACGTTCCTTTTATCGACATTAACAGAACAACAAAAAATGTTGCATTTCATTACTGTTTCCCTTTTCAACTTATTCATAATTTCAGTTAATTGCTGCAGTGCAGCCTCCTACCAATCTTTACATGAAATATTCCCTACCAATACAACGATAAGGGGAAATTAATTGGCTACGTGTCAGCTGTCTAATTTTACAGTACTGTGCTGCAAACCCCAGCAATTCAGTGAGTCAGTATGTACAAATAAATGATGATAAACACCTTAATGTCTACAAAATGTATTTTGAATTTATGAGCAATTAACCTTACACAGATAAAAGTGTTTACAAACAGATGTTCCAGGACAAGAGAAAGCTGTTGTTTTCCCTGATATTCAGCAGAATGCAAATCACAAGTATCCGTGGAACATCCAGACCCTTGTTCTACTGTCCCTCATACACCACGTCATGAGTGTACTTTCACGTCTCCATGACATCTGATGGCTCGTGGTCCTTTGTTTCTAGCTAAATACCCCCTGACTCTGGGTCTTACCATGTCATTAATTGCTGTTATTTCACAGGTTAATTTTAACCCACATAATTTCTCTTACCAGATTGACTGGGAATAGAGCATGAGTGGCAACAGACAGGAGGACAACTGCCTAATCTGGTTCTCCTCCCAAAGTACTTATCCCTCAATTATTAATCCAAATTTATCACTGAGTTATCAAGCAATCCATTGAAAATGGACTGTCAGGGTGCATCTACAACAATGTAGTAAGTCTAAGCGATTGCTGTGAAAGGATATTACTCTTTTTGCAACAGATCTTTGCAACATCTTGCAAGCACTGAACTGTGTGTTTACTTCAGATGTATCAACTCACAAGTGGCAAGCATAAAGACAGGCTGCAGAAGAATTGCTTGTACAGGCGTATTTGCGTGAGTGCAAAATGACTTCTCTCAGCTCTTAGAAACATACTACTAATTACCCACTTCACATATGTCACCATTTCATCTCGATTTCTTGACAAAATTTATAGATTACTGAACGAGCTGTATTTCTGAGCAAGTCTTTTCAATACATCTTAAGTCTGATTGTAGGGCAGCTGATGTAGGAACAGCTCTGGTCCTTGCAGAGCAAGGAACATTCCAGGCTCAGCCAGCCAGTACCCTACATGTCCACATATGTAAAATCTAGTAGATTAAGAACCTATGACAACGTGTAAATGACTGACGATGAAACCATGGAGAGCTCCAGTTATCCTTGGATCAGGGTACACCACGCTTTCCTAACTGCATCTGCATCATGATACACTTCTAGCACAAGGGCTGCTAAGTTAATTCATTCCATGATCCATCCAACCCCATGCATTTCAGCTCATTAAGTCTGCCAGGAAAGACAGCAACAAGAATGCACCAAACCCATGACACTAATTTCACATGTGCCACAAAGCAGACATGAGAAGAACCAAACAACACTGCCAAGGGCTGCATTCATACCAAAGAATTGGATGTGAAAGCTGTCTGGGAATCAGCTTAAATTACTGCTTTCTGACATGGAAGTCTTTCTGAGCAATAACTTATCACATTCCAAAAAATGAAACAAAGTCTGTATTTAATACAATGCTTTTCACCCAAGAATTTCCCAGCACTTAACAAAGGACAGAGAGGGAAAATACGCTGTTGTAGAGCCAGAAAAATACTAGACTGAACAAATATGCTTGTCCTACTTCTAGCTTCACAGTCAATATTATGAGTGGTGAGTAACAAATCTCAGAGTTCTGCCTTGGTCAGCATTTCTTTCGTTGGCTCACTTTGATCATACTTGTAAAAGACAGTTATTCATAATATGTTGGTAACACAAGCAACTATTTGCTATAGTTCAGTGTCCCACACTACCACCTACTGTAGAACTTCAGTCTCTATCACAATTAGGAGCTCATACAAAAAATAAAGTGCTCTGCTGAGAAATACATACATCAGCTTTTCCTAATGTGTAGAGTGTTTCCAAAATCTTGTGATGTAGCAAATATTCCATACATGGTCCTGTTTCACCTGATTCCCTCTCGTTTTCTTCTTGAACTAGAATATCCAACATCTGCTCCAAGTGAGAAGGAATGTTGGTATCAGTCACAGGAGCTTTGTCATCTAAACAGGAGAGATGTGCAATTAAGAATGATTAAACTATTGTCCTCACTTTTCTCAAGTTCAATTCCAAATGTAAGATTTAAAAACATGACCACTCATTAAAGAATCTTCTATAGAATATGCAAGTTTTTTAACGTGTCTTACATTGAAGTTTCAGAACCATATCAGGAAATGTAAACTGGAACACTTATTAGGCAGATATCTAACCTTGCAATGGGGAGAAGCTGAAATGCCGAATTTCAAAACATGCATTAATTAAACAGTCAAACAGGAAAACTTTCATAGGCAGAAACCAAACTTTAGGGAGGGAAAGGTTCTACTCTCAATCTTCTGGTTAATACCCACCCTTGCCTTGGTAACTTCCTCTCTGCCTCTTCACATAGTATTCAGAAATCTATAAACAGCCTTTAACACCAGATAATTTGCAACTGACCACTTCCTTTACAAACTATGTAATTAAATAAATGGTTTTTCTAATGATAACAACAAAGAAAACCCAAACTCTATGCTATTTATTCTTTACTTTTAAAATTGTCTTTTATACTTTCTGCATTAAAGCAGCATTCTGTCAAACTTTATGAAGGAGTGGGTATGACTGATATTATCATGGTAAAGTCATGAAACTGCTGTGGATTTACGCTCCTGGGAGTGGGAGCTGGCACTAACATGTTGCAAAGCACACGCATCCATGGAGATTTTCCTATGTATTTTTTTCAGCTCAGTTTTACTTGAACAACTACCCCATGAGGGAAATGGTTACTACTTCTTATGCAATAACCTGAAAATAACTGCCACTTGCATGCACATGGCAACAAGATCACAAAGGAAAACAGCCGTGTCAGTGTGATTGTGATCTCTACCACAACTTCCAGTTAGCCTATTTTGCTTGAATGTCCTAGGCATAATTCTGCTCCCATTGCAGAGGACAAAAATATATCCACTGAATGGCAACTTGTTTTCACAAGACTTCTGAAAGTGTGGGAGAGAGAGGTTAGCTTTTATTTCGCACTATGTAATCACAAGTATCAGTTTTCCCTTACCATCCTGCCATTTCTACCTTAGGGGACATCACATAGTGTTCCGAAAGATGGGTATTTACAACCAAGGGTCGAGTTTCAGGTTCTAAGAGTAAATACTGACATAAACAAGATCACCAGTCCCACAAACAGTCCCACAAATGCAGATTCAATAGCTACTCTAGCAGAAATACAGAACTAATAAGCCTGAGGAAAGCATGGTAACATTCACCTTAATAGTGTAATAACTAGAACCAAACATTTAACATTTAAATGTTGCATACTGTTGCAGGAAATCAGGGCAAAGTTTAAGATAAAGCATCTACAGCCATATTTCATCTCAATACCCACTGGGTTTTTTAAGAGCAGAATAAGATCTGGGTAAGTTTTAACAGAATGTATTTTAAATCTGCTCACAATTTCACTTTTCAGAGCTGTGTTATCAAAATACCTTTCACAAAGAAAAGACACTGAAGAAAAAAGACCTAATACTGAGCACTCAGAATTTATGTCTTCTAAAATCTATGACCACAAAATCACTTTTGTTAAAATCTTGGGAAAAAAAAAAAGAAAAAGAAAATCCCTGATGCAGAACAATAAAAAGGTTAACAGCAGGGACTACATTTCTGTAGTTGTCTGTTCAGATTAAACAGAATATATGAAGACAGAAATTGGATCAGGCGTGGAAAGGTACAATTCTCTACATGGTACTCAGGAAAGAAGACCTTCCCTCTATCATTTTTCATGCCTCGTTTTTAAGGCATGAATGGAGGTACGCAATATTTTTAATTACTAGCTGTTGTTGGCATTTTGATAAAAGACATGCCTCATTTTAGTATCACTTAATCTTTTCAACGACACAGAAATCGGGAATTATATGTTTTCCCAATAAAGAGACAAAACCAGAATGTTTTCTTTTACCTGATGTCTCTATGTAGTAATGGGTGATTGCTTTCCAGTGGTAAACAAAATCCTCTTGTAATGGAAGGGAAGGTGCGAGCTATGGGGGAAAAAAAGAACAAACAACAAACAAAAACCAGTAAGGAATGAAATAAACATACATCCTCAGAGATTAAATTGAATTTTATCTTATACTTGGAAGCAAACTGCTGCAGACTAGTGCTATAACTTTTACTCTCTGCTCTTCTGCCTTTAACAAGGATTATATACATTATTCATGGCATGAGCCCCATGTCATAGTGCCTAGCTTGTGAACATCAGTAATAATCTGTGATGTCTTAAGACTGGACAATCTATTTGAAGCAACAAAAGCAATTACTCATGCAGTAAAACAACACTAGAAATGTAGGTGTGAATTGTTTACATCGCAGAGTTTTGTCCTGTAAGGAAAAAAATCATGTTCTTTTACATTTGTTTTTGATGCCATCTTCCTTTTCTGTATGCTCTGTTCTCCTCTCTCCCTGTGCTCCCTTAAAAACACCAATTAGCTGCTTCATAGAGTTTTGACATGCTTTTTTTCCCTGTTAACCACAACTATTTACCAGGCCCATCCCCAGAGCTTGTGTTTTTTTTTTAACAAATACGTTTCTTATTTATTCTGACAGAAAAGGAAGTTTCTTCTTTTCCAGATGAATTTGGAATGGCCAGTTGGGTGTGACTGGCATCCAAGAATAACACAAAACATGGCCTCCCACCCAGTCAGCATCAGTACTGCTCCTTCCTTACCAAGCTTGAGAACTGGGTGCCCTGCGGCTCATTATGCCCCAGGCACTAACAACTACTACACCACGACCATGATCATCTAAGCACTCTGCTCTCCAAAGCTGAGGCAAACAGTGAATTTGCGACCACAATATAAAATGTTCAGAGCGGGTAAAATCAGGAATCCTGGAGGGAAAACCCACCCCACGCTACAGATCATGTGAGGGTCTGTTGTTATTGAGGCTTAACCCTACTTGCTTGAGGCTTATTTTTTACCATCAAGTAATTTTTTCATAGGTAATCCTAACATAAAGGATTATCATTTGACATGATGGCAACAATGAGACTTATGGGCAAGCGGAAAGAATCCCATGCATAAGTTGGTGTGTCCATTCTAGAAGGATAAGGAGTTGAACCAGCCTGACAAGCAATGGAGTTCAGTCCTTCACAGAGTGGCTGAGGTTGGAAGGGAGCTCTAGAGGTCATCTTGGTCAACCCCCTGTTGAAGCAGCCTCACCTAGAACCAGTTGCTCAGGACCATGCCCAGACAGCTTCTGAATATCTCAACAAATTGAGATCCCACAAGCTCTCTGGGAACCTGTCCAGAGCTCGGTCAGCCTCATCGTTGAAAAAGTTACCCCCAGAAGCTACAGATACCACACTTGAGATTAATAACTACAAATTCCTCTAGTGTCCTCCTCATAGTGCCTAAAAAGTACTGAGCTGCCTTAGTTCTCGGACAAACAGAAGCAGGGGGCTCAGGCATCTGTATACTCTTCACTGGGTAGTGCTGTATTTTGGAAGTTTTCCATATCAGTCTTTTCCTTAAATTGAGTAACACTTAAATTTATCTTGGTGAAGTCGTAAAGCCCAGTATAGGAACAGCAAGCCCTGCCAAGATAAGAAAGCAGAATGCTAATTGTTAATGACCTTTTGCACACAGGACTTTGAAACGCAAGACTTTAAAGAAGCAGTGGTGCTTGGTAACTAAACTACATCTGCATCCTGTGTGGGAATGTGCCCTTACAAACGGTAACAAGGAGATCAAATGGACATTGCTTATCCATTCCCTGACAGTTTGTGCACTCACTGCATCTTCCATACTTCCACAGCTGGGCACTGAAACCACCAATTTAGAGCACCTAGCTACCACAGAGTATGCATCAGGATACCACACACTGCACAAAACTAGTCTGTTTTACTATAGAGTTTACAAAGTTATTGAAATTCACAAGCATAACTCAACAAACTGAAGACTATGATATTTTGTGCCATGCTTCGTATGTCACACTGCTGTAGATGAGTATTGCAAGCAATGTAAGGATCATTTTGCAGATTTCTGTAATAAAACTACACCAAAAACTACACTCTGGCTAATGAATAGCACAGAAGCCACTTTTGAGGAATACCATGGCTTTCAGACAACTCTAGTTCCAAAGTAACACATGATAGATAACATTAAAGATTTATCCTTGACTGATGTGATTTTCCTCTCCACTTCGTCTAGCCTCATCTGCCTCAAAATGGAATTTAGTGGCTCTGAGCAGTGCCAGGAAAAGGATTTCACTTCTCAGCACTGTCAATAATTTATCCACTGCAGGAGAGAACAGTGGATACAGACAATCTCCCTCCCAACAAATGCCTCCGGGGACTCCTCTCAGGCTTGAAAACCTAATTCAGGGACAGGTCTTGCCCTCTTTAATTAAAACACTCAGTTTTTCCACAGGGTCTTCTCCGATTGAGGACTTCAAGACAGATATTAGAGACACCATTAGCATGTGTGTGCATGTGTACCTGCATGCCTATTGGGAATATATGATTTGCAATGTATGATATATTGGCAATATATGATATATATTGCCACCAATTGGACCTGGTGATACGGAGCTGTGCTTGCATTGGGCTACCAGACTTAGCGACTCCTACCAATGTAGAAAAACATTGTTTTCTTTACTTTTTAGCTGTTTACTTTCTTTACTTGTTCAGCTAAAATAACCTTCACCCTCAAATTCCTCTTCCCACTGCAGACGGACCTAGTATAAATCTGCTTTTTACAGCACAGCTATTCCAGGTAATATGTAACAAATATAACAGCAGCAATGCTATGTATTATTCTGACAGAAGTGTTTTACTGACAAAAAATGAACCCACCCTCCCCCGATCCTCTTGAATTAGTAATTCAAACACAAAATCAGGGTAAAGGCCAAGACTAAGATAGGAGCTTATAGACAAAGCCCAGCACTGGAAAGCGTTAGAAAAATGTAAGTGTAAACACTTAGTTGACGTGCTTTAACCCTACTAGGGCAGGTAATTCTAGGATGAAGCTGTAGTTTCTATTTTAGGATGAATTATTAGTTACCAGCTGAGATGAAATACATCTTACAGCTGCCAATCTGAAGAATCACTCTTTTGTAAAAGTATACATGCCTTTCTAAGGATTCTGAAGCAAAACAAAATCCACTGCTGAGGCTATTGATTCCTGCTATTTGTCTGATTTGAAGGAACTACCTTAAAAGTGCAGTTATTTCTCAATTTTATTAATCAATTTTGATGTAATTACATACATTACCTGGTCTAGCAGAAGGTGTCCCTGCCTCTAGCAGGGGGCTGGAACTATATGATCTTTAAGGTCCCTTCCAACCCAAACCATTCTGTGATTCCCTTAATTCTGTATTCTTACTAATTCTGACCTATCAATTCCTCATCTCAAAGTGAAGTTCTCCTCCTCAGGGGAAAAAAACTTAAGATCTTAAAGATGGAAGTGTAGGTGTTGTATATCAAATAGACAAACCTCACTGAACACTACTGAAAACCAGCCCATTTGAGCAGACACTGATTAGCTCTTCCATCTGGTCCCCAAATCTAGCAGTTGAGCTTCCTGGGAGTGAACGAGTGTGTGTTTTCATTTAGAAGCTAAACTTAACACATGCTGCCTTATCATGCTGGTGACAATACATTATTAATGATCAAACCCCACTCCTTCCAGGAGAAGTGCTGTTCTCAGGAGAACTACAGCTCTTTGACCAGGACTATAGTCTGCTTGTTATAAAATCTGTCCAAAATACAATTGCACATCGTTTTCAAAAGTATACAAAATTTGTGTTTTAGGCAGGGAAAAAAATAACATCAAGAGCAAGGAAACCTATACATATTTAGTGCCTAACAGCAATTCTTTTGTGCATGTAAAAATCATTGTCATACGCTCCATGTATGCTTTTCAGAAGTGCAACCCAATACCGAAAAGAATGGAAACAACGGAAGCTGCTGATATCCCTTAGTATCTTTTGGCCAAGTAAAGAAAACGCTGTGTAAAAGAATAACAGGTACTGCCTGGTCAGATGCCAGAGGGAAAATGAAAGCAGAAACTGGGTCAAAGAGAAGTCAAGGGGAAGTGCATTCACAATCCCCTAACTGAAACAAGGAAACTACAGTAGTCACTTGATCTTACTGCTTTACTAGCATGACTGTCTACCCTGATGGAAAATCTGAAAAAGGACTAACGCTTGAAGGTTTACTTTATTTCTTCAGTTGATGAATGCACAGAGCTTATAATGATCACTGCTTTTGCATATAAAATTAAGAATGTACACCCTTGCGAGCCATGCATTAGATTCTTTCATCAGAATTTGTTAAAACAATCGGTAATGTGAGGTCATTACATCAAATAAAGTGGGTTCAAAAAGAAGCATTGTTCTGAGTAGTTATGCAGTTAATGATTTTGGAGCTGTACCTGTAGCAAGTGACTCACCTTCTTACAGTTTTGCCTCAAAATATGGACAGAAAATATGCTACTAAAAAGCATATTAAAGTGCCAGTGTAAGAGACACAGTGAAATAACAGGTTGGTAGACAGTGGTCCCAAAAATGTGCAGCAGGCACTAAAATCTAAATTCATTCCCCAGTCCCAAGAGTGTTACAATCTTGTTTGACAGCAAATTGCAAAGTTTGAAGCAACCAAAATCACTTTTCCTGGTCAAGGCACACAGCATAAAACCATCTTTCTGAGCTGACTGTTAAGACAAAACATCTCCTGAAAGCCCAAATCAGAGACAAAAGTCCTTTGAACACTGAGTGACCGCTCTACAGACCAGCTATTTTGTCTAGGGAAACATGAGTGAAGAGTACAAGATAAGAGAAATAGTAAGTCTAACTTTGTGCTTTGTTAGTGTACTACATTTTGTATGTTGCGGACAACATAGCACTCTGAAATACATCTGGGACAAAAGTATACTAGAAATGCATAGCAAAGAGAAAACATCTTGGGGACAAGCCATATATAAACTGTCACAGATTCATTAATATTAACCCCACACAGCAACAACGTTTCTATTCTGTTCTGCCCTGAAGTAAGGTAACAGAACAAAGACAGCAGTTCCCTCCACCATTCTCACCCTACCCACATTAAGGATGCCTCTGTCAGGACAGTACCTGACAGAGTGCTTGCTCATCTGGATGCTGCAGAGAATTCCCGAAAGGGTAAAAGTATGTGAAATACTGACAGAACTGACACAGGAAAAGAGGTGGCAAAAATTAGGATTCAGTTGTAGTGAAAATGGGAATATGATATCACACTCTTGGGCATTTTAGGCAGAAAAGGCTGAAAGTTTTGAGCTACTCAAGGTAAGAAAACTCTTACTGAAAAGCAAATGGTCCTTTATGTTTGCTTCATTATAGTCCTGTCATGAAGGCAGTCAAAGAGCGGCACACTCACAGCAAGTGAAAGGCAAATACTCCTCTGTGTATTACTGTCAACCTTTGGAACTCCTCGTCATAGTTCAGTGAGACGGCATATTGAGGGTAAGATAACAAAGATTATTTAGTAAGATAGGAATACTTATCTGAATACATCTCTCTGAAGTCTGCAGGCCTGTGGGCCCTGAGGCAGGATAGGAGCATTACATAATTGATGTGTAGGAGAAACGACAGGAAAGAAAGTCTACCCTAACCATTCTAAGTAGTCCTACCAATGAAAGCTAAGACTAGGCACTCCAAGGGTATTTAAATGCCCAGCTCAGCTCAAAACTCTTCAACTGCAAATGAATTCCTCCCAGAAGCAGGCACCCAAAACCTAGGAGAATTTATATCTTAGTTACCAGTTCTGGTGCTGATATTCAAGGCTGAAACAGAGTCCACACGAGGCTGCACAAGCTACACTTGCTCTGCAGCTGTAATAGCAAGTAAAAATGATGGTCTGAATTCTCTAGGTTCTGAGAACAGCAGGCAGCATCAGGCTGAGCTTATCTAATATTTAGGATTTACACCAGTTTTCATTTTCAGAGTAGCGAAGTTAAGTAGCCCACATACTTTTTATGAGATAATAAAACAATGCTTTAAAGTCATGTACAGCCCCAAAACTGTTTAAAAGTTTGTCATTTCTGGCTTTGAATTAGTGGGTCAAACTTCCTAGGTGAAATAAGACAAATTCTTAATACCGTTTTGCTTTTGGGATTCCATGATTTACTCCTAGCATGTGGCAGTTGGTGTTTCACAACCCTGTAAATGCAATGTAGTGCAGTACTTATCAGCAGGAGCTCCCTCACAGTGGTGTTAGCAGGGTAAAGGACACCAGAGTCAAGCAAGGACACAGAGCATGTTGTTTCGTAGCAGGTCACTTGCCAAATGATGTTCTCCATCTGTGTCTGTTTTTCTTGGGGGTGGGGAGGTGTTGAGTTTTTTTTTATTAAAAAAAGATCATCTAGTCCCTACCATCTCCATTCTTCCCCTTTTCCATTCAACTCCTTCATGTTTCCTAGGTTTCTTTATGGATCTCATATAAATGCAGAACTTTTTTGTACACATCAATAATGTAAATGTTCTTCCAGAAATGACTTTGATTAGGTATCTTGAATTGGTGGGCCTGAAAGAGTAACTTCTTTTCCATGCTTACTCATACAAATTGTGGCACAGCTCACAAGACTAACAAGGTTTCTTTAGTCAGGGAGGCACTAATTTCTGGTTTTCCTCCAATGAAAGCACTGCCTATTGAAGGCATTCATATGTGGTCACAGAGAATTTTCAGGCCATTTCATCGTTATTTCAAGCATTTCTTTCCAATTGCCACTCCACCACTAAAAGAGCAAAGTAGGAACCCGCAATTAATTATTGTAAGCCTAACTTTTAAACCTGAATAGTCCTGCTAAAGGCCCCAAAATTACATGCACACACATAATGCATATGCTCAAGTATATGCAGCATCAAGGGGTACAATGATGCACAAACGGTGTTCCTTTCTCAACCATTTGAATCATTTTCCATCAACACTTTCCACCTTCACTGCCAGCAGTATTTCACTGCCAGTTTGTAGCACCCAAAGATGCACCTCTTCAACCTCAGCCTCCTGGATGTGTTAGCTTAAAGAGAAAGATGCTGGAAGCCACAGATATTACCACCAGGACCTCACCTAACGGAAAAACAAACAAAATCAACCCGTGCGGACACAAAACGAGTCCTGAGAAGCAAGCAGCTGAACGGGGCCTACAGAAATGGCAGCTTCGGAGACAGGCCCCGCTGCTCCCCTCTCCCCAGCGCCGCGATGGGCACCGGTGTGTGTGTTTACACGGTGAAATCGAACCGCCCGTACACAACCGCAGATCCCCTCGCCCTCCTTTCCCTCCACACCCAGTTAAAAACCAGAAACCAAGGCTGAAAACATCGGTTTGGAAGTGACCACATCACACAAAAGCACCGGACACGGCGACTATTGTCTGCCGGCCACAACAACAAGGGAATCCGGAGAAGTTTCCTGAATTCAACTTCACCCTCGTTTCGCTGAAAGCGGCCAGGGCGAGGGCAGCGGGGCCTACGGGCAAGGCACGTTACCGGCGCTGACAGCCCGGGGGCTCATGATGCCCGAGGGGGCTGTGCCGGGGTGGCAGCGCTCCGGGAAGCGCCTGGTCCCTCCGCTCCCTTCATCTCCGGCCCTCGGCAGCCCGGGCCGGCTGTAGCCGGCGCTGGGGCAGCTTCGCCGCGGCCCGCCCGCCGTCCTCCTCCCAGCCCCGCGGCACGGGCGAGCCGGGCTCGGCGGTGCCGCGGCTGCCGGCGGGTACGTGGGCTCGGTGGGGCCCCTCGCCGGCAGCAGGCCTCGGGGGAGGCGGCAGGGAAGGGACGCCGCGCTGAGAGAGCGAGCCGAGCCCCCCAGCTCCGCCCGCTCGCCGCCTAGGCCCCACTTGCATCCCCGGCGCGGAGTGGCTCGGCCCGCCGGCGGCCTTACCGCCTCCACGGCGTGCTGCAGGATGGAGGTGAACTTGGAGAACATCCTGTCCCGCGACTGCAGCAGCCGCTGCCGGGACGACCGCGAGAGCTCCTCGATCCGCCGCCGCCGCCGCTCCAGGGTGAGGGCTGCATACGGGGGCCTGGCCGCGGGGATCAGGAGGGAGGGCGGCCGCCGGCTCTTGCCTCTCGCTTCCCGGCGGACACCGTGGCACTGACACCGCCGGGCTGCGGCGCCGGCTGCCGATGCTCCGGGTGTTCGCCCCAGCGCGGCCTGCAGGGGCCGCCACCCCTCTCACGCTGACAGCCGCGCCGCAGAGGGGCCCTGCCGGGCGGCCCGGTTTGGACCAACCGAGCCCGCCCCGTTCTCCCCTGCTCCGGCTGGGCTGTCCTGGCCCGGAGCCCGCGGGCCTGAGCAGCCGAGAGCACCGAGCTGTGCCCGGGCCTGGCCTCGTCGCTCGAACCGGGCCGATTGTGCCGGGGTGCGGCCAGCGCGGGACGCTGCTGGGGTGGGAGCAGGCAGCGAGCTCTGGGTTCCCCGAGCCGGGTCCCCGCCTCTGGGGGCAGCTCCCGGCAGGGAGGTGGAAGGGAAGCGGCGCCTATAACCTCTGTCTCCGTGCCCAGAGGCCTGCCATCAGGCTCCTACAGAGGTCTCGGTGTCTACACTGCCCGCTGTTCCGTGAGGGGCGCCTGCACCCGTGCCTGCTAGCATGGCACAGCAAGGAGCAGAGCTGGGACGGGTGGGCAGAGGCCCGGGTCGCTGTCTGCTGGGACTGCTGGGGTCTGTCACTGCCCACAGGGACTGTCAGGTGCTCAGGGAAACTGTGTCCGGATCCCCACAGAGATGGGCTGAGGGAGTCAGTGACATCTTGCTGGCTGAGAGCCTGGAGAAGAGAAGGCTCCTCAAGGGGAGACCTTAGAGCAGCTCCAGTGCCTAAAGGGGCTGCAGGAAACCTGGAGAGGGGCTTGGGACAAGGACCTGTAGGGACAGGACAAGGGGAATGGCTTGAGCCTGCCCGAGGGGAGACTGAGCTGAGCTCTTAGGCAGAAGCTCTTCCCTGTGAGGGTGCTGAGGCGCTGGCACAGGGTGCCCAGAGAAGCTGTGGCTGCCCCATCCCTGGCAGTGTTCAAGGCCAGGTTGGACACAGGGGCTTGGAGCAAGCTGCTCCAGTGGAAGGGGTCCCTGCCTTGTGGCAGGATTTGGAGCTGTATGAGCTTTAACGTCCCTCCAAACACACACCATTCTATGACTCTATGAGAGACCAATGGAGCTGGTGGCATGAACTGACTTGACTGCAGTGCTTCTGGGTTTTGCAGTGTCCCACAGCATGAGAGAGCTTGTGGCAGTGTCCATTGCTACTTGTTTCACTGCTGTTTGTTTTCTTCCCCAGAGCTTTGAAGGAGGCAGAGAGAGCTTTATTTCATCTCCAAGCCAAATACTTCAGAGAAAATACAATCCCTGCCATTTTCTTGTGCAACAGGAAAAGCAGAGGTAAGATGGGATGAGCAGAGGCTATACATGTAGTCAGGTGTTGGAATGGGTTTCCCAGGGAAGTGGTGGAATCACTGTTGTTGGAAGTGTTCAAAAACCATGTAGATAAGGCCCTCAGTGACATGGTTTAGTGGTGGATCCAGCACTACTGGGGTAATGGTTGGACTTGACAATCTTAAAGGTCTTTTCCAACCCAGCTGATTCTATGATTCTGTGTAGCTGGTGGCAGGTGTGATGTTTTGGCAACTGCTGCAATTAATGACATATTATTTGAATAATGGGCAAATGGAAGTAGGAGAACAGGACTGATCTGGCACTGGAGGATCAGAGTGAAATGTTGGGAAGGTGAGAGACCAGTATGGGAAAGGGAAGGCAACCTGTAGTGCCAAATGGAGAAAAACTTTCTCGCTGATTTTTGGAGACGAACTCACATGCTACGAGCAAGCAGAGAGAGACTGATCAAAAAGACAGGATAAACTACTATTTAACTGCTGTGTTTTAAGTAGTGTCATCTGGGGAGTCTGACTGTTGATCTTGTGATGAAATCTTACTAATGGTTCTGCTGTACTGACTGTTAGTACTACCCCCATGCTTTGCAGATGTGGAGAGCTACAGTCCAAGATGGAAATAAACACCGATTGTACACGGACACCTTTACTGGAGCTGCTAAGGAGCAGAGCTAGCTATTTCCATCTCAAAATGCAGACATATCAAATAACATACATTTTAAAGGTAATTATGCTTTCTTTTTCTAAATAAAAATATCTGCTTAGTGTGGTTTCACCAAGTTATATTCTGTAGATGTTCTTAGGAAATGTTAGTTTGCTAAGAGGGCAGTCATATGATGAAATGTATGTACTATCTCTGCCTCTAGGTAATTAGCTGGGCAGATGTTGCATTTGGAAGGTGCCTAACTTGTTTGGTTTAACATTAAAAGCTCTGTTAGACTTTTTAAGTGTGCTCTAGGAGGCAAGCCCTTCTTTAGATGATAAATACTTAGATTTATTTATATTAGGATTGTAATACTTTAAGTACAGTTCAGGGGCAACATTTCACCTGCTTATATAGTTTGTATTGAAGGTTTGTATTGATTTCTTAGAGAATAACAAATGAGGAGTTCACTGAATGATGCTACTTTAAAAGCTTTATCTATAGATAAAAAGTAGAAGGTAGAATTAAGGTTTCCCAATTAAAAATAAATAAATAAAAAAACCAAGATATGTTTAATTTCTACTTATATAGTTATATAAAATATTATATAAATATATAATAAATATATAATATATTTTATATATATATTACATGCATCTGAGAATATCAGCAGTCACACATCCATATGGTCCATAACGCTTGTATCAAATCGTGGTGTTATAACAATGTTAGAGCAATATTCCAATACTGATTTTAGAGTAAAAGAACCCATCAGTTAAGACCCTTCTGCAGGAGATCAGTCAAATTCACACAACTACCATTTTCTTCACTATTTATTATGGGGTTTGTCTGTATGGGACTTTCCAAGAAACCCACGATCCTGCAAAGCAAGCCTGATGAGCAATAGTAAAACAGATCAAGGACAGCTGTCTCTTTTCCACTCATTAAAATTAAATGGGAAAATCCATTTAAGGCAGCACATTACATTAGCTTAGCAAATAACACAACTAAAAGGAGACTCAAAAGGAAAGTCAAAGCTAGGGAAATGTTGTCAGTGTAGCACCACTGAAAGTACAAGTCCTCAGGGAAAATAATGGTGGGAGGATCTCCTTCTACATTTCACACAGTTACTTTCCTCTTAGTATAAATTGTACTATGTTGAACACATCAAGATTTTGCATGATCTGGAAAGTTAAACAACTCAAGGCAAATGCAGTGCAGGATACAAACCACCTGGGAATGGTAGGTAATGGAAGCACAAACCTAGCTGCCACAGTTGAGCACTAAATCACTGAAACTGAGTATGCTGCAAATATGTTGAAAGAGTCCCTTTGGTCATATCTATACTAATTAATAGGACAATAAGTAGAGATACTTTCTGCTTATGGTCTCTAGATTCGGAAGAAGCTATGTAAACTAACACATCACATTCTGGAGCTTTTGTTTACATCAGCATGATTTCCAGACCATTTATAGAGGACAGTTATCTGCATAAGGATCTGATGCATTAAAGACACTGAGCCCACATTGCAGGACAATCCTTATTCATGCAAACACGCAGTCTCTAGATTTCTATAGATGCAGGTACTTCTAGCACATCCCAAGTAAAGGAAAGTAATGGGTATCCAAAGCGGCTTCACAACTGACATATAAGGCTTTGTAAGGAAAACTTTCTGATTGCATCTAAGAGGGCAAGCATTACAAATTATCTGAAGGAACAACTTCACTTTTGTTAGCAACTGTCTGAACTATTTGTATTTACACTGACTGTTACCCTGTGCTCCTTGCCGAGAAACATTTTGAGAGCCCTTTAGCCACCATTCCTCATCTCTTCAAGAGCTAGGTCAGATGCTGAATATACATATAAACAACCCTTTTGGGCTTCAACTTTAAAGAGAAATCAGTCATCTATATATGATCTGTGTTACAGCAAAAAGTAATTTTTCCCTCCAACAACCTGTTTATGGTTGTTATCTTGATTGCCAAGAGAAATTTGTTTTCTGCAGAGGCTCCTATAGCTTAAAGTGTCACCTATTTTACCCACCCCCTTCTTTCTTCATTTTTCAGTAGATTCACAAATTAAGTTGATCCTCTGCTAGGTTGAAAGAAAAAAAGATTCCTGAAAATTATAAGTCAGACACAATCCTATTCTAAGAGTCAATTTATCTTGTCTTTTCTCTACAGATAGTTTGCAGATTTCGGCAAAGATCCCATTTCCAGTAATAAAAGTCCCCAAGGACTTCTGGTGCCTAACACCTTCTCTTCCTGGATCCTGAGCACATTGCTGTGATTAAACTGTTACAGACACAATTGTTACTATTTGTGTTTGTTATTGTAAGAGGAAAAGAGCACAAAAATGTTTGCGTATTAAATGCTGGTGGTACTTCTGTTGAGCAATTCCTCCCCAGCATCCTGCAGAGAGAGGAGTGGGATTGTGACAGCATGGTATGAGCCACCTTGTGCCCGGGCAGCCAAGAAGGGCAACAGCATCCTGTCCTGTATCAGCAATAGTGTGTCCAGCCAAGCCAGCGCAGTGATCAACCCCTGCACTGGTGAGGCTGCACCTCAAATCCTGTGTTCAGTTCTGGGCCCCTCACTACAAGAGAGACATTGAGGTGCTGGAGCAGGGCCAGAGAAGGGCAATAGAGCTGGTGCAGGGCCTGAAGCACAAGTGCAATGGGGAACAGCTGAGGGACCTTGGGGGATTCAGTCTGGAGAAGGCTCAGGGGGGACCTTATTGCTCCCTACAACTGCCAGAAAGGAGGATGGAGCCAGGAGGGGCTGGGCTCTGCTCCCAAGGAACAAACACTAGGTCAAGAGGAAATGGCCTCCCTGTTGAGATTGCTCTGGAGCTTCAAAAGGTCCAAGCTCTGCTCTGCTTCAGGGCTGCATGGAAAGTGTTGAACCACTAGAGGGAAACGGGGCCTCAGCTCATCTCGAAGCCAAACAACGGGGATGGAGGAGGAAGGAAACCTAAATTGGGGTTAAATGAAAGGGAGGGAGGAAAGAACCAGGCGTGAGGCATGCGATCCATGAGAGTCAGTTCTGGTACTTTAGCAATGCATTCAGCCCCACCGAGATAACTTTATCCCCCA